GGGTCGGAGATTATGATTCTCTCGTCACAATTTGAAAATTCGGGCGGAATTTGGAAATTCAAGATGGCGGAACCAATATGGCGGACGAGTTTTGTAATTATAATCCGATTCTTTTCAAAATTGGTACCTAGGGGTTTTCGTGATCGGGGATTATGATTCCTTCGTCAAAATTAAGAAATTCAAGATGGCGGACCCAATATGGCGAACGAGTATTGTAATTATGATCCGACTCTCTTCAAAATTGTTATCTGGGTGTTTTCGGGGTCGGAGATTATGATTCTTTAGTCAAAATTTGGAAAGGGCGAGATTTGGAAATTCAAGACGGTGGAAACAATATACCGGACGAGTTTTGTAATTATTATATACCGATTCTATTAAAAATTTGTAAGTGGGTGTTTTCGCAATCAAAAATTAGGATTCCTTCGTCAAATTAGGGAATTCAAGATGGTAGTTCCAATATTGCGGACGATTTTTGTAATTATGTTTCCGATTCCCGATTCTATTCAAAATTTTCATCGGGGGTTCCAGGGGTCGGATATTATGATCCTTTCGTCAAAATCGGGTAATTCAAGTGAACTAAAAAGAAGTTGAAATAAATGGTAGTTGGAAAAACTAAAGAACCACGCTTTTATAGATAGCGAAACTAAAAAGAAGTAGAAAATAAAATAATAATAGTGTCTTGATCTTGATGAATATTGAACTGAAAAAATATATTATAGAAATAATGTATATAGCGAGGGCTAGTGACTTAATACAATTGGCTGGCGATTGCTAATTTCTTGCCCAGATTATTAGCCTTCTTGTCACGTGATGGTTACGCAACTTTCCTATCTATCTTTTGTTATTGTCTATAACGAGATGTGTGATGTAGGAAAATTGTTTAAAAGTCTTTTGCGTCAGCGAAACATGCGATCAAAGAGTGCGAAAAATGTGTTGTTTATAGTAGATAACGAACAGTGTCGGCTTTGGTCCATTGGGGCCGAAATCGCTGAGGACAATGTCTGACTGAGATATAAACTGATGATGATGATGATGATAATGACTCTGGCTTATGAACTTTGGTTGGGCAAATCTCAGATTCGCGAATATCGTCGATTAGTTGGAATGTGTCGGTCGGTGAGCGTCTAGGTCGCGAACGATATGATTGTGATGGTCGAGATTTTTTTCGAAATCTATACGGATCGTTGAGTGTTTGAGTTGAGGTTTTCGTTGATTTTGTGTTTGGACTTTCGGCGGTGAAGATGATTTTGCCGCTGGTATGGATGGCTGTGTGCAAGGAGAGGCAGGTCATCGTGGGATTTTCGTTTTGGATGTTGGAGGTATACTTGCAACAATTTTCGTTCGGTTGTGCAACAGTTGTTATTGTAAATTTCAATAAAGAACTCAATATCATAAAACAGATTGCAGTCAACAACGGATACAACGTTAATTTGAGAGAATGTATTTTTTCTTAATATAACTTCATCATAAAGCTATTCAAGAAGTTTATCCTACCATCAAGAATATTAATCAAAATTATATAGAACTTTAACCTATTTTGGATCATCAACTGAAAAATTAGCTTCATTTCTACATAAACAGGGCTTCAAAATAGCATATAGAACAAATTACACGTTGGGAAAGTTTATCAAGAATAATAAAGACAAAACTTCTAAATTCGACAAATCAGGGGTATACAAACTTGACTGTGGATCTTGTCCTAAGGTATATATTGGTCAGACAGGTCGTACATTTAATCAGCGCATTCATGAACATCAGACGAATTTTTTGAAGAAGAAAACGAATTCAACATACGCCAACCATATATTAGAAGAAAACCATTGTTTTGATGATAATTTCGAAATTCTACACGTAGAAAATAAAGGAATGAAACTCAATAATTTTGAATCATTAGAAATCAACAAACTCAAAAATTCCGACATTTTTCTTAACGATCAATTAGACCTCAATAGTTCACCACTGTTGAATTTTTTTTTTCTCAGTAAGTAATAATATGTATTTGATATCTCGTTTGATATCAACCCTTTCAAGTTAATCCGGTATGCCGTATTTTAATGTAGATATTGTGCCTAATTTCCGAAAATGGAGGTTTATCGAACCTGTCCACATCATCAGGTAACTAATCCTTCAGGATGGGAAAGAAGGATATACAGGGTGTCCCATAAGTAATGGATCAAAAGGAGTGTGGTGGTAGGGGAGTCATTTGTAATAATTGTAATTAAACTCAACGGTATATGTTGTTATCAAATTGTTTATGGTGCGAAAGTTATTCAATTTCTCTGAAAAATGCGACCTATTTGAAAAATAATAATAACAAAAAGGCTGTTTTGAATAACCACACATGTTATACTATTTCGAAATCTGTATTAAATTATCAACATATTCTTATGATTGGTTATCTTTGTGGGATAGTTTTTAAATCTGCCAGAGGCATTTAAACATCGACTCAAATATTTCATTCGATGACAAAACTCAAGGAAAAAAAAATTTTTCTCAGGTAATTGATAAGAAGTAATACATGTCATAAAATTATTTCTGGGGAAAGGTGCATCTATGTGGATGAAAAATGTGAAAGAAAAAATCACAAGTGTGACATAGTGTTATTGTTATTAATTCTTTTTATAGGAATGAAAAAACATTAATAACTTTTGAACCATCAACAATTTGATAACAACATATATGGTTAGTTTGATTGGACATGACCCCCCTCCTACCACCCCACTTCTTTTGATCCATTACTTATGAGACACCCTGTATAAGCAAGCCAAGGTTAGTTTAGTTCATCGTACCAGATGGTACCAGTATATCACCTGAAGAAGCTACTGTGTTAGCGAAACATGTTGTGTGTTTGAGAATTTTGTGGAAATCTTATCGTTTTTGAAGTTTTTACATTTTCCATGTATTTCCATCAAGTTACGGCCGAGTCAATTCAAAAAGTTGTTATTTCATTCAAATGTTGACATTGTTGACCCGAGTGTTGACCTTTATATTGGGGTATTTGGAAATTACTGGAGATTTTGATGTACCCTAGATTGGCCAATGGGGAATTTCGAAAAGATCGAACTTTGTCAACATTTGAGAGTGTTTTCCCACAACTTTTCATGGTCAATCTTTGTAGGATTAGTATCTTATGATGTCCATAAAAAACCCATACCTATTTTCTTCGAAAAATTATCATAATTAGCATACCATTATCAAGACGTCATGTACTAATTAGTTAACCTGTTTTCCATTTTGATATCACATTCATAATTTTGGAATTTCTGAGAATTGAGTCCATATTGTATTACAGCATAAATATGATTTCAAAATCCAGAAAAAATAATTTTCATCTTTCAGTTTCTAATTTTAGTTTTGTTGCAGAAACAGATACACGCTGAATCATCTACTCATTTTCTTGATAATCGACAGGGTGTTTCAAATTATTGTAATCAGGAAATTTTATAGGCGATAAATAGATAGATAATAATATCAATAGCACATCAACTTGAAGTATTATGATTATTTACAATGTCAGCAATAATTGCAGTACGTTGACGTTCTTGGATTTGAAGTGAAATACAATAAATTAACCTGGACAAAAGATAACTAAGAATGTCTAAAGCTATTCCATAAATAATACAAACAGGGGTAGTCCGATCAAAATGATAACTACAATTCATGTTGATTAATTGTTATGATTGAACTTCAGTATGAAAAATTTACCTACATAGAAAGGTCAAGATAATTGAGGCGCATTTTCCTAAATGATTTTATATAAAGGAACAGTTTGAAACAATAGATGATTAATCTATAAATATCTATGTGACGTTTTTATTGAGTGTTGGATGGAAAGACATATTTCCAAAGATACATAGAAGGTTAATATTTCTAGGTCGAATTAATGAAAGGATATCCAAATTGGGAATATATCAGATGTTGCAGGAAAGTGATTATTCAGGAAAAATCTGTTCACTGGTTAAGTCGCATTGATAATAAAGTAAAGTATGGAAAATATGTGTTTGATCTGTAATGTCCAAGTGATAGGTAGTGTGATTTTAACTTTTTGTCTATTAGTTTAGAAAATAACACAATCATTCCATAAAAAATACATCTCGTTATCTGTCGATCATGAACTCCAAATCGCAAGAATTTTTCATTCAAAACTGATTTCCCAATTGGCATGGCAATACATAATTCCAGATTTAGAATTTTGAAAAACGAGCAAAATACGAGGCCTTCCATTAATGTTGTACGAGACTTTGGGTCAGGATCTGAAAAAAGTTCATATAAACTGACCGGAAATGGTTCGTTTCTTGAAAAATACGATTTTTTATTAATTTCGAAAAAAGGCTTCAACCGATTTTGTAAAAAATTCACATTTATTGTGTGCACCTATCCGGTATATTTTCGATTTTGAACCTATCACAGTTGATAATGTTCGTGGCATGTTTTTTGACCATTCATTCATCTCATTGTTCACCCAACAGGCTCAGAAACTTGCATAGGTTTGGTTTTTATTTTTTTTTATTTAAAACGAAGCTAGTTACGAGAAAAATTCAAGAACCAACAAAGTTAAGCCATTTTGAGTCGTCTCATTCAAGAAAATTACAAACCTTGAAAAATCTATTGGGTGCTAATTTCTGAGCAAAAAACTAATGACACACCCCTGGTTACTCCTTATCAAATTTAACAGGTCCAAAAAATACCATATTACTCATGACAGTGACTCATGGTATACCCCCCTTTTCTCCTTTGTTTTTCTAGCTATATGAACGTTTTTTCCGTATTTTGACTCAAAAAATATCACCTCGAAGTTTCGTACAACAATAATTAAACACATACTGCCTAAACTAAATTAATTCAAGAACAGCGATTTGGGAATGAAATTTGAAAAAATCATTGTGTTTTGTCTAATACCACCCTGTAAGTACGACATATAATAGGGATTTCCTTTCGTGTGTATCAAAAGATGGAAAAACAATTCTTTTATAACTTTTTTGTTATTTTTTTTATTTCAGTACCTGGACATTGGGGAGGATATGAACGTACCTGATGACTTCACTCAAAATGAGATGCAAACTGGCATGTGGTGGAGGCATTTAGCCGCTGGCGGCATTGCCGGAGCCGTCTCCAGGACTTGCACGGCCCCCCTAGACCGACTCAAAGTATTTTTACAGGTAACCCATATTTTCTTTTCATCACTCGCTGTTTTGCAGAAATTTTATGTTTGTGGTTACAATTGATTTATTCGTATTATTTGCATTGAGAGTCTTCAAGTGGACGCCCTGTATACGATTCGTACACCACAGAAATTTTCAACTTCTTTTCATTGATTTCCCTATGCAGCTTTTCGCGTCACACTGTCTAATTGGTGACAAATAATTTATTAAGAATTGCTGCACTGTTTTTTTGATCATTTTATTCAGTATCCAATGAATTGAAAATTCATAAGAATATCTCAGATTACTGAAAGTATACGAAAATAAAAAATAATCGCAAGATATGAGCTGCATCAGATAAGTAATTCATTCAAAACCGAAAATGAGATAATTAGGTAGGTATCTACTTCAAAGATACTGTAATGATTTACTAACCATGAGATTACTCTCAAAAATGAGGGTTAATGAAGTTACATTCAACATTTATTGTCATAAAAAACCGAGTAAAAAACCTTAGTGTTGATAATGAATAAAAATATTTCAGGAACAAAAGCTTTGACCTGTCAAAGTGATCAGTGCAAAGCAGCAACGCCAAAAAGTTGAAATATTTCAACAATCATCACGTCAAATATTTCAACAATCATCATGCCAAATATTTTTCGAATTCAGCGTCATCAATCAGATTGCTTGACGCGCGACGTTGACATTTGATCTTCATTTGACATCTAAAATTAAATGGCTGTCAGCGTCAGCTGGTTTGATTTAATCAGTAAATATGAAAAATCACCAAAAAAATCATATTTCTTGAAGATTTTCCTCAATAAAATGTGTCAATGAAATTCATCATAAGTATATAAAGTGTGTCCAATCACAAAATGAGAAGAGCAAGTACCTGTAAATCAGTGTATGCATATATCCAAATACATGCAAAAAAAAAGGTTAGATTCAGAACTTTTTCGTGAAATATCTCGATTAATAGTGGGTTCACATATTCATTATCGAATTCCTGTTTTCTTCGAAAAAAAAACCATCACATGGTAAAAATGCAAAATTACCCCTATTATAATTTCGGTAAAACTGCACTTATCATGCGATGAGTGTTTTTTCAAACATTTTTTGTGGTATGTACTATTTTATCTGAACAAACACGAATTTGATACCAGAACCAGAATTCAGCAGTCAATAGGTTGTCGTTGGTAATGGTAAATATTAACTTGAAAAAATATCTGCTTCAGAGACTTTGATAATTCCATTTCTTATTTGAATACCTACTTATAAAAGACAAGGTTGATATTGCATGATTATTTGTATTCTTTGTTTTTTTTTACTTGTTATATCTTGTTATAATTTCATAATTGTATGTATAACATTATGTATATTGTTCCTATTGTATCCCTATTATAAACAATAATGTTTCTTGGGGTAATAAAGACAATCAATCAATCAAATGAATAAAAAAGAAAGTGGTACATTTTGGAAACGGCAGAAGATAAATAAACAAATGAAGTTGTCAAGAAAGTCACTAAAATACATTCATGTTTTCTCAGTTCAAATGAGATAGAATTGGAACCGACAGAACCGTATCCGGGAATTTCATGTTCTGAAGAAGGACTTTTACAGTTTTATATTTTTTCACATTCGGTGAACGGGTACTTTGAATTTTGAATTATTTGGCGGCAGCGCGGCGGAATCGTAAAGCGGCGTTCACAACCAAACTTTTTACGTTTTGCTTTTTACGTTTCATATTCTGATTGGTGAAGCAAAATCTGTAATTGAAATGACGCAAAAAGCTGAAAATATTCAGCTTTTTGCGTTGCATGAAGCCATCGTCTGTGAAAATAGTGAAAATAGACGAATAATATTCTGTAATAATATGGAAGTTATGATAATGTTTTCATGATTTTTTCGTGAATCCACAGAATAGTAGATAGGTATACTGTTCAATTCATCATTTTCTTGTTGAAGATTGATTTTTCTCTTCAAGTATTGAATAAGGTTCAATTTTCGTCACCACCAGTTCTATGAATATTATCAATTATTTGATCAATATTATTGTTGATTATTTACTTCATTTCAGGATAAAAAACAATTAACATAAAATAAGGCAACTGACCCAAAGAAAGTCACGTTGATTTTTTTTCTTGTGAATGATATTTGCATAGGTTTAGATCACGCTTAATTTCAGATTCTGCTTCGTAAAAAGTTTGGTTGTGAGCGCCGCTTAATAGTTGGCCCCCGGCGTATAATAATAATAATTTTTATTTTCCAATGGACACGATATACATGTATAGGAATAGTCAAAAAATAGTCAAATATACCTGACAAAGGCACTAATAAATATAGGAAGTGATAAAATATTGTAGAACATAATATAAAGGAGCAATACACAAAGATATACAATAAAGAGTAAGATACAAAAATTATAAGTACATAGTGGTTGAGATGAACTAACATGAATAAAATGAAAACACTAACCCTGTACATGTGGAGCAAAATACTCCTCTAATGTATAGGGACATTTTTCAATGAGGAAATATTTTAACCTATATTTGAAACTATTCAAGCTCACAATATTTTTGACCTCACGCGGGAGATGATTGAATACTCTCAGTCCTAAGTATGACGGAGAGTTGGAACTCACCTTGTATTTGACGTATGGAACATGGAATTCGTCATTACGCCTAGTTTTAATATTATGAATATGAGTATACAGTGTCTTTCAAAAGTATCGGAACGGTCTCATATTTCAGGAACGGATTGAGAAAAATTCACGAAATTTTCTACAGGGTGATTATTGATGATGTCCGATTCAATGGTGGCATCGGCAATGATGCCAAATCAACAGTTTTTCAGATATTAGGAGTAACTTTATTTTTTCAAATGGAATACCCCATTTATTTTTATTGCAATTAATTGAGCGCCTCCTAATGACTTGAGGCCCTGAATACCAGATTCGTAATTAACGTGATTTTCGAAATATGACAACATAGCATTTTCGTTAAAAAGTTCTGGAACGGTCCCATATTTCAGAAACGGCTCAGAGAAAATTTATGAAAACTTCGACAGGGTGGTTGTTGCTGATGCCCGATTCAATGGTGATATCGGCAATGTTGCCAAATCAACAGTTTTTCAGATATTGAGGGTAACTCAATGTTTTCAAATGGAATACCCTAAATGCCATGTTGTCATATTTCGAAAACCACTTCTATTTGAAATCTGATATTTGGAGACATAAGTAATGAGGCGTCGCTGAATGTATTGCAATGAAAACAAATAGGGTATTCCATTTGAAAAAATTGAGTTACCCTCAATATCTGAAAAACTGTTGATTTGGCATCATTGCCGATGCCACCATTGAATCGGACATCATCAATAATCACCCTGTTGACATTTTCGTGAATTTTTCTCAAGCCGTTCCTGAAATATGAGACCGTTCCGATACTTTTGAAAGACACTGTATAAACTATTTACTATTTTTTCAGGTGCAACCATCGAAACAGAAAATCAGAGACTGCTTCAAGTGCATGGTGAAAGAAGGCGGAGTTTATGGGCTGTGGCGAGGCAACGGCATCAACGTGCTGAAAATCGCGCCCGAATCCGCCCTCAAGTTCGCCGCATACGAGCAGATCAAGAGGCTGATCAAGGGTGATTCTGAAGAGCCTCTTACTATCTACCAAAGGTCAGTTGATACTCTCGTATTTTTAGCGTATTATTGCATGTTGTTTTGAAAATGCAGGGCATTTGATTGAAGTTTGATTTTCAGACATATACAGGCTTCTAAACATTTGATTTTTAGGGATATGCAGGGTGCTAACATTTTGATTTTTGAGGGTTTCTGAACTGGATTAATTGGGTGTACGACAATTTATTGTATCATCGAAATTTTCAATTTTTTTTCTTTGGGTGTTTGAATTTTTCAGGGTAATCAAACATTTTTGATGATTGGAGATGAATCTTATTTACACTACAACTAATCTATGAAAAGTATTGAATTATTGAAACATTTTCTGGATTTCCGTCAATACAGGATATCCAGAAAATAGCTTTTTGAATCTGATTACATTATTTTCATTGCCACTAAAAACATATGAAATTTTAAACTACATAGTAATTCATTGCGATAAGTCATCTCTTCACTCTACAGGTATATATACAGTTGCAAAAAATTGATTTGGCGATTATCATGGTTCCTTAGTGAATCAAAGTGTTTTTTGTGACATTATTCTGGATAAATGTTGCCTGATAGGTTCCTAATTTTATAACAGATTTTTCAACACATTATTTCTTGAATACATTTTAGGGCCTTCCGCTTAATTCTGTAGAAGGCCTTGGTTTTTTGAAATTTTCAGTTTCATCACTTCATATGTAAATATTTGTTGAGCAAATGAAAGTATCCTAAATAATATCTATCCTATGAGGTTAGGAGTTGTGTAAATGATAATTATATTTATTCACACTAGAGGACATTTGATTCGTTGAACGTGACAACCCCGCGCACCATTCGTGGGCGTGGTCTTGTCAGTTCTCAGCATTCGGCACAATGTTGCCAAGTCTCCAACATAAACATGATATTTTGGTATGGAGTATGAGAAAAATTTGGGACATGCTGGTTGCTCGAAAAAGTTAAGAATGAACTATAATGTCGATGAGTTCCTCCTATTATGTTTTATTCAACGACAGGATTCAAACATCTTTTAAATGACTTGATTTTAATTGGTGACTTGACAACCTTGCTTCATGAGTGGAAATGGAGGATTATCTGACCAATTATCAAACAGCCTAAAAACTGGCGTCACCATTTATTCGACGTATAGCCAAATTGCGGCCATGTCGTTACGTTTGAAATAGGCTCTGGAATTCAACGATTTTGAACGTCAATCAATATTGATATTGAATGCCTATAATTCATTATCAGTCCACTCGCCCATTCTTCAAGAAATGTAACCAATTGCACTAGCAACAATCATCTCGAAAATGTTGCCGTCTATAGGGATCCCATAATTTTTTTCTTGTTATTATTATGATATCTTCGAAAATATTGAGTTCAATAAAAGTTCTTGGATGCATGACAAATTGATATTCATCATACGACAGGACGTGAAATTCTGAATTGAGAAAACCTAATCAGTAATGGATATTTTCATTACATAGAGAATGAATTCTCAAAGTATTTCTCATGTACAGTGTGTCCTGCATTTCATGAATTGTATGTTAGAACAATGAAGTATTTAGCAGAGTGAAATGATTCATTCACCATTGGCGTGCAATGTTGCGGGGTACAAAAAAGGCCTTTATTTGGGAAAAGGATTTTAGGGCTCATTTTAAATGACTATCTTTATCAGATACTCAATGGATTTTTCTAAAATATGGAAGATACTTTTCCATATCCGGACTGTAATTTTCAACAAAATATTCTATTCTGAAAAAGGTTGTCCATCAATTTGTTTTTTTTTTGTTTTCTCCTAGGTTTATGGCGGGAGCTTTGGCAGGCGGTATCAGCCAGAGCGCCATCTATCCCATGGAGGTGCTGAAGACGCGACTGGCCTTGAGAAAGACCGGCCAATACAAGAGCATCGCCGATGCCGCCTACAAGATCTACGTGACCGAGGGACTGATGAGCTTCTACAGGGGTTACATTCCGAATATCTTAGGTGAGAATCGGGTACAGCTTTGCTCATTGAAAACGGAATTGTTCATTTGGAAAGTACAGGCGAAATTTCGGTGTCAACTCGAATGTTTGAGAGGTTTTGGGTTGGCATGAAGCAACACTTTTTGAAAAATTAACCGATTTTGAATCTGAAGTGTTTTTTTGTTCAACATTCATAGCCGAAAATGCATTGAAATTTTCCAGTTGTGACACACGAAGTATTCAAAAACAGGGTACAAGAACGGGTATTCCGGTTGAAATTTTATATGGGTATTTCCATGGTTTCCTAGATGATTGATTATAAAATACAATTGGACGCGGTTGATGGCGCTGCTGTCACTACTAAACGGTGAGACCGATTGGGTTAAAATATAAAGTGTCCCCTTGCACCATCTCTAATTGATTGATTTGGAAATGGACCAGGGCAGTTGATGTTCCTGCTGCTCTCAAAGCCATTAACGTCGTCATTAACTTTTTTCAGAACTGAAAATATGGGGAGAAATCCACCCCTTTTTTTCTTATAATTCTTGGTCCTAACTGAAAAACTTGGAGATACATTTTGGACCATGAATGTTGAACAGGAAGATATCTTTCAGAAGCTACATTCTGATTCGAAGTCCGTTAATTTTTCAAAAAGTCACGGTTCATGGTAAATATATGTTTATGGAAAATAGATGATAATTGTCAAATATTCAAGTAGTTCAAGGAGGGGTATTCGAGAAAAACATGAACTTTCGGTTTGTACTTTTTATTTGAATACTTCACAAAAATGTTTTTTATATAAAATATTATCATTTATCGGGTGCCACAAATTAGTGGCTCATTATTCTTCTTTCTATTAGAACTGACTAATGATATATTTAGCAGCATCATGCTGTACATGAGTCTGCATTTTCCATCATAACATGTTGTCATCATCTTGCCTCATTTCACAAAGTCTGCTTGTCAGCCTTTGATTTGTAAATGAGACATCCTGTATGGGTATTCCATGTTCGGTTTGGGGATCATTAATCTCCAACCAAATATGGGATACACATTGTCGACCGGTGTCTTGTTTGGAAGTCATTCAGATATGAGGGCCAAGTTATGACAACATTTGTTGTTGGTAGAAGATGCAGAATCAGAGATATGGTACATACAACGTTGTCAAATATCCTTTTTCATTAGCTCTAAGAGGAAGAGTTGGTGAGCTAATAATTTGTAGTACCCTGTAGCGAAACCGGCACGATGTGAAGGCCGGTTCCATTTTCTTAGGGCGACTGGTAACCTAGACTTGAAACGGTGTTGGCGTGGTGTGTCGGTATTGTCTGAAAAATATAAAAATATATTTCAGACATACTTACAGCAAGCCTGCCTCTCTGTCTTTCGGGTCTGGAAGAACATGGACGGGCAGAGAGAGAGAGAGACGGACACATACTCTCTTGTATGTCTCTCTGCCTGCCAAACTGTCCTGTCCCTCTCTCTTTGTCACCGTTCCTGTTCCTTCAGAGACAGATAGGACAGGTACAGACAGACATCACAAAGACACATTACAGTAGGGAGAAAAGAAGGGAAGGGGGAGAAATGTAGGAAGACACAAGGGAGGGGAAGAAATGTAGACAAGGGAGGGGAAAATGTAGAAGACAAGGGAGGGGAAGATGTAGGAGACAAGGGAGGGGAAGAAATGTAGGAGACAAGGGAGGGGAAAATGTAGGACAAGGGAGGGGAAGAAATGTAGGAAGACAAGTCGGAAAGAGGACAAGGGAGGGAGAGATGTAGGAAGGAAAGGAAACGGAAAGAGGACAAGGGAGGGAGAGATGTAGGAAGGAAAGGAAACCAAGTGATATTGTCTCGCAAATATTATATTATATACAGTGTGCTTCCTTATGCATGGTCACTGTACCTGTCTCGTCCCCGTCCCTGTGTCTCGTCCCCGTCCCTGTCAGTCAGTCTTTGTCCTACATGTCAGTCAAACTATACCGTACCTGTTCCTGTCCCTGCTGTATCCCGTCTCGTCATGTCAGTCAGTTTCAGTCAGTCAGTCTCACTGCCTGTCCGCCCCTGTCATTGTCACCGTCCCTGTCTGTCCTGTCATCGTCCCTGTCTGTCCTGTCATGTCAGGTTCGTGTGCCTGCCTGTCAGTCTCGTGTGCCTGCCTGTCACTATCCGTTTGTCTGTTAGTCTCTGGCTACCTGCCTACCTGGTCACTTTTTAACTGCCTGTCTCTAACTGTCTGCCAGCCAATTTCGTTTGTATGCCTGCTTGTCACTCCTTGTCTATGTTTGACACAAACAGGGAGCGAAAAGTAGACAGACAGAGAGATAATAAGACAGGCAGATTGGCAGAAAGAGACAGACAGACAAACAGAGATAGGTAGGCTGGTAGACAGAGACTGGCAGGCAAGCAGATAGAATGAAACAGTCATGCAGATAGAAAGAGGCAGACTAACAGACGAGCAGGTAGGTAGCAGACATGCAGACAGACAGCTAGAAGTCTATTCGCGGGATTCAATGTTACCAGGCGCTCGGTTTTCATCGTTCCATGTCAAAGCCACGTCAAAACTGGGGGAAAACAAACTCAATCCTCACTCAATCCTATTAGTGCCATTAGCTTGTGTACTGTATATATATGGAGTCTATGCACTTTATCCATAGACAACAGTTTGTTTTCCCCCAGTTTGAAGTTCGTATTATGTAACCTAGATGTCGCCCACTTCGTGGATCTCGCTAATACGCTCGTAATGCATGTAAATTCTCTCAATTCATGGTGTTGAATATCTTCAATCCATCTCCATGAAATAGAGAAGAAAAAAAGTCGAAAAGTCCGTCGTCGTTCCTCCTCAACGTTCTCTCCTTCTGTCGCAGGTATTATTCCGTACGCCGGCATCGATTTGGCCGTGTACGAAACGCTGAAAAAGAAATATTTCATGACACACTCGAGCAACGAGCAGCCCACCTTCTGGACCCTGTTGGCGTGCGGCAGCGCTAGCAGCACCCTCGGCCAGATGTGTTCCTATCCGTTGGCCCTCATCCGGACCAGACTGCAAGCCCAAGGTGAGTCTCAAAAAGCCGACATGTCATTGTGTGCGTCTGTGTCTATGTGTTTTCGTCACGAAAAGCTACCGTCGATACATTATCAATCAATCAACCTTTCCTCAATTTCACTCTACCTGATTGTACACTTCTGAAACGTAAGGGACGTTCTTTTGTTCACCGGTGGCTCCATCAATCTACCAACTAGGGTAATATATTCTTTGGTGGATTCTAGTCTGACGTAACCACTCGTTCATTTATTACCTACTGTTGTGTCAACCAAAATTGCAAACTCTTCCACCAATGTACAGAGATGAGGCGTGTTCTTTTATTCATCAATGAGTCATGCGCATGAAATGTGAATTCATCAGATAGTATTTTAATTCGCCAATCCAAACACCGCTTATTCATCTGATACATTGACGTGTTGGAATGATGTATTGATGAATTCAAGAGGTGGATATTTCAAATGGTGAAATCACTGAAAACTGTGAGGTTATTTGACTAGGCTGGTGATGAAATAGGGATGAAACAGTGATCAATATAGTGAGTTTGTCAATTAGCAACTGCTATCTGAAACAGTGATCAATATAGTGAGTTTGTCAATTTGCAACTGCAGTTGGGGGCTAGGTAGCCGTGCGGACCAGTGTCAGTATTCTAATCCGCATTCGCTTGCCGGTCGTGGGTTCAATTCCCAGCGACTGCAGAAATTTTTCTGATGGCCCAAGAAAGTGTTGGGATCACACGATCACACGTTAAAAGGTAAGGCCCCCGTCATTCCTTGCTCGCACAAGACTCTAGAAGACTTTTGAGGGTTGCTCGTAAGGGGGCAACCGGATGACGGATAGAACAATTTTAATATAAAGACGTGACTTTTACGTGGAAGTTGAGCATGAAATAAAATTGAGAATTGATTACAAAGACATTTGTGTTTGAAATGCTAGTACCTATCTAATCTTTTTAGAGTTTTACTAACTCTCAATGATGCTGTCATTAGAGTATTTCATTTTTGTACACATCAGATCGGTAATCGCTCCTCTGACACAATGCTCAAAATGAAATGAAATGTTGAATAAATACAAAAAAAAAGACTTATTTGCTCTTATATTAAGTTGGAATCTACATTTCATCAGGGCATCTGTGACGTCAGAAGACATGCATAAGTAATTATCAGATGAATATAAGAACACGCCTTTGGTGGACTTTTATCGTCGCTTTCGAAATGACAGCGACGACAGCATAACCTCAAAAAACTATGAACAGAATATTGGATTTGAAAGCTGTTTGCCATTTGCCTAAGAAAAAATATGGATGAATTGATCATAATCAGTCTAGAATATGAAAATGAAAGAATAGACGCATTAGTGACACCAACATTTACTATCATTCTCTCATACCCAATTGCCCTGGTACCTAAATTCATCAGTCGGTCTTTTTTGTCCTTGTCTCGTGTTAGAGTCTGCCTGCCTGCATGTCTGTTCTGTTACTCTGCCTCGAATAGAAATTGAAGGAAAGACCCAACCACCTCTAAATCAACCCGACTCACCCCCCCGAACCATCTATCGAAACGTTTTCTTCTTCTCTTCCAGTCGCTCATCCCGCCATCGATCCCACTTCTGCCACCATGTCGGGCGTGTTTCGCACCATCGTGGAAAAGGAGGGCGTGTTCGGCCTGTACAGGGGCATCACGCCCAACTTCATCAAGGTGATGCCAGCGGTGAGCATCAGCTACGTCGTCTACGAGTATTCCAGCCGGTTGCTGGGCGTCAATATGACGTGAGGTGGCCGTGCCTAGCTAGGAGAAACACTGTGAAAGAAGAGATTTTTTTGTTGAATCGAAATTAATTTATTTGTTGTTGCTCGCCCCGAATGCGAGTGACTGAGCGCGCGCTGTGAACCCGTGACACGGACAAGAGTTGTGTCGGACTTTTTTTTTCCCCTTTCTTTTCAAATGACTTGAGCATGACAGATTCGAGTGTACCTACCTCTATTTACAATTATAGATGATGAGAAATGTGTCCTTTGTTGGAATGAAATAAATGGTATCCATTCAAATGTGTTTTGGAGAATTGACGATTGAATAGGGGGCGCGGGTGCAAATATTGTTGAAGTAAGTTTCAAAAGTTCCTATACATTGAATCAATCCTCCAGCCTAAAATATGAAATAGGAGGAATTGACATGCTTTATCTATAATTTGCCGAATACAAATTCATAGAACCCTATTATACCGGGTGTAACAGGATGATGGTACACCAAACCATTCTGACGAACTTAATTTGGTGATGAATCATGAAATTTTACATTTTTGACAGGATTCAACTTCTTTTTAGCATACATGTCGATATGAGTACAGCAGACTCAATCACAATAGTCAAGGCACACTCAGATGGAAAATCAAAAATGAAATCGGAATCAATAATGAAGTTTGAAATGTTATTAACATGGTATCATTGGCTTCATTCGAAAATGCATTGATATACAGGGGGTTCCATTTGAACACTTATCTCTGAAACTAAAGGAGAAAAAGGGGGTGTACCATGATGCTGTTACACCCGGTATAGTGCAAGTGAAGTGAAAATATATGATATTAGAGCTTCACTTCTATCCTTGAACAAGAAGGAATCTTCATTCCTAGGAATTGATTGTCGCCCAGTAGAGAGCTTTTGCAACAAGTCTCACAAAATGTCACATTCAAATATGGTGCAATATTCATTTCTCTAAATTTTAGTAAGGAGCCAATTTGATATTTTCGATAATAATGAACTGAAAGTCACTTTACTGGCATCTGATGACCCTTACAATTGAAAGAAATTGTTATTAGGTCTTCAGACGTAAAAAATATAAGACAATTTCAAAGAGAAAAACTTCAATATAATGAAATGAAACTTCAACGTTTGCTTCATTAAATTGAGATAAACTGTATCATTCATTCTCTACATAATCTCACCATTGTGCAAAATCCTTAAATTGAAGGAAATAGATGATTGATTCAGGTGTGCCAAACTCAACGGGCTAATTAAATTTTAGCGATTTCATAACGTTCAACTGTTTTGACATAATTCCTTGGCACACTTGACTCACTTAGTATTTCAATACCAGAATTTTGATGGAAATTCGAGACTGTGTACAAAGTGACACCTTGTGTATATTTTGTTCTAATGTAGGTGTTTTTGAAAAGTCAGATCAAAGATATATCAAATTCCGAATGAAATTCGCTAAATTATTATAAAGAAATAAGGGGACAGAGAAATCATTGCAACAAACAAAATATCTTGAGGAAAAAGGGTTTTAAAAATATGTACACAGATAGATACCTTGTGAAAAATGGCTTGTTTATAGGAATTTTCAAAGATTGTCAATTGGAAGAATCAAAATTTCAAAATGGAAAACTTACTTTTTGAATAGATGACTAATAGCTATGCTAATAGTAAGAAAAACTTGAGTTTCTTTCCAAGACGAAAGAATCACATAAGTACATCACAAGATTTTTTAAAATCATAAAAAGTAAGATTTCAATGTTGAAATATGGCATAAGATCAGGTTGAATTTGAAAATGTTCCCAAAAGAAAATCGAACATGAAAGGAACATCCAATAGCAGCGATTTTCGTTTTAGAAAGTCACTTTGGAATCTTGAAAAGACAAATTGATAGAATATAGAATTATTTTGCTATGGGTTAGTCTGAAAAGGTGTCTGGTGAGTCTCAATAGTTTCAAAACTTGTTTTGTAATCACTGATGCTATACCTAAAATATCCCTTTCCAGGCTCACCCTGTATTTCATTGCAGAACTGCATAGGCGCGTGATACACCATGTGTATCAGAAAACTATACTTATGAATGAAAAAACTACTAATTTGTGGATATACAGGGTGGGCCACCAGTAACGCCTCGGTCTCTAGAAGGCTAACCACTTATCTTCTTGGAATTCTTCCTCTCTAGGAAGTTGCATGTCAACATAGGCTACCATTTAATTTCGAAACATACAGGGTGTCCCCAAAAACCATAAAACACTGAAGTTAAACTTTTTTCTATCGAACACCCTATATATTATTTCATTTTGAGATTCTCCCTGATGAGCTGATTTCAACGACCCATCATACTTGGGGTCTAGCAGTTATAATTACTGAAATATAGGGTGTGAAAAATCGAGATTTTCCAAGTTCAAGAATTTTTTGTGTCGAAACTATTCATAATTGGTCAAAACGGCTCACATGTCCCTATCTTAACTTTTGATCAACTATCTACTGATATTCAATTGGGACATATACCGGGTGATCAAGATTCTGAATTCTGCACCACCCTGTATTTGTTTCAATTAAATGTCAGTAGATAGTTGATCAAAAGTTGAGATAGGGACATGTAAGCCGTTTTGACCAATTATGAATGGTTTAGACACAAAAAATTCTTGAACTTGGAAAATCTCGATTTTTCACACCCTATATTTCAGTAATTATAACTGCTAGACCCCAAGTATGATAGGTCGTTGAAATCAGCTCATCAGGGAGAATCTCAAAATGAAATAATATATAGGGTGTTCGATTGAAAAAAGTTCAACTTCAGTATTTTATGGTTTTTGGGGACACCCTGTATGTTTCGAAATAATTTTAAATGGTAGCCTATGTTGACATGCAACTTCCTAGAGAGGAAGAATTCCAAGAAGATAAGTGGTTAGCCTTCTGGAGACCGAGGCGTTACTGGTGGCCCACCCTGTATATCATAAATTTAAGATTACAATGATCAATTTTCGTCTATTCAATAAAAGTCCGAGGCAACTCTGAAAACCTGTGGTTTGAATCAACCAGACTGGTTCTTTCCGCGCATATGGCGACTAGCCGACATTTAGCTGAATTTATTTATTTGTACAGGATAGGCTTTTGAATTTTATCAATTTACTCTAAACTTTTTTTACTGCGATAGTGAGGCCGTGAATTTCAAGAAGTTTCTGATTGTTGGTATCATTAGAAACTACTCACTGATTCATTGAAAATTCAAGGCAAGAAAATAAGCGTTAAAATATCTCATGTTTAATGTATTTGCATATTTTGTTGAGACTCTGCTTGGAAAAAATGTTGCTTTCAAAGCATTTCTGATATAACTTTAAAAATGCAAAAAATCAAATAAAAAAACAACTTCATCTTGTGATACTAGATATGGAGAAACAAAAAGAAAATTATCCACCAATCACAAACTTGTTTCAATGTATACAAAAAGTGAATTGACTTTTTAAATAAGTGAGATTTGAGAATCATAATTTTATATTTATCCTACATTGGTATTGTTATTGCACGAATTTCCTAGTTATTGAAAAAAATAGTTAATGTTTTACCTAAGAAAATTCCAAATCATATTATATTTAGATGTATATATTCCAGAATACGAGATAGATAAAAAGAAAAGGTCCCGATGTACTTAATATTTTAATAAAATATGGTATTTATTATACTGCAGAATGTACCTATTTCCCAAAACATCAAGTGTAAAATAAAATGTTATGATGATTCTCCCTTAGTGTTTGTTTAAATGAATTCCCGCTTCCCTATCCACTATCCACAACAGTTTTCCTGTAGAGGGTTGTACTCTAGCTGCCGGCAACTTTTCCTGGTCTACTAAAATTCTCTAAAACAAAAATAGTCAAACTGCCAACCATTACTCGAAAAAAAAAAAAAGGTCAAATGAACACCTAATGAAATTTCCCCCAAAATGAAAGCACAGAGCGAGCAAGGACCAAGCAAGTGATTGAATATGTTCATTTTGATGCTGATGAAGAAAATACAATATTTATCTGTGACGGGGAAAAGTTTGAAATTTCAACTAAATTCGCCATTTTCTCAAAATCAAATCACAGAATTAGACTGACAGATATCTAATTACTTCAAAAGAATGATAAAGATGCCTGCAAGTCAGGTGTTTCCTTTTAAAAACTTCAAATTTCATGTGGATAATTTTCTGATTTCAATATAATATACAGGGTGATCCACGGTGGATGGCCTATTAGAAGTATCTGATGGAGAACAAAAAACAAAACATTCTTCTGAAAATTGGGATGCTTTGATAATTGAACATTCCCTATCCGTCTGAAATATTTTCATAAATACAGTGTTGCCACTTCTATCAGAAACAACTAGCAACTTCGTTATTTTAAATGGAGCATCCTGTATTTTATTGTATTTTTAGATTCTTCCTGAAGAGCTGATTCCATCAATGCATCACACTTGGGGTCTAACAGGAATGATTACAGAGATATAGGGTGTTCAAAATCGAGATTTTACAACTTTAGGATTTTTTTGAGTCGAAACTATTCATTATTGGTCAAAATGGCTTTTACGTCCCTATCTCAACTTTTGATTTACTATCTACTGACATTTATTTGAAACAAATACAGGATGGTTCAAGATTCAGACTTTTGATCACCCTGTATTTGTTTCGAATAAATGTCAGTAGATAGTGAATCAAAAGTTGAGATAGAGACATAAAAGCCGTTTTGACCAATAATGAATAGTTTCGACTCAAAAAAATCCTAAAGTTGTAAAATCTCGATTTTGAACACCCTATATCTCTGTAATCATTCCTGCTAGACCCCAAGTGTGATACATTGATGAAATCAGCTTTTCAGTGAGAATCTAAAAATGCAATAAAATACAGGGTGTTCCATTTGAAATAACAAAGTTGTTGCTTCTTTTCGTTAGAAGCGGCAACGCCGCGGGGCTGAAAATATTTTAGAACCATGTCCCCCTCGAAAATAAAATCGACCTGTCTTTTCGTTTTTCCATATTATCGACTTGGAGGGAGATATTAAGGGTGGGAAGTTTTCAAATTGACACCCTGTATATATCACACAATGTTGGACACATTTTTTTTTATCATATGAGTCAACTAGAAATATGATTTTCTTGTGATTTATCCATGTTCAGTGAAAATAAGGAAGAATATCATTTGAAATAATGGCGTGTGTAATGTCATTCCAAAGCAATCTATTGACATTTGACATCTCGTATTTGGATTGCCTATGGATTAAATGGCCGTCATCTGCTATGCTTGCTCACTAAATCGGAAAAACTCGCCATAAAAATCATATTTCCTGTTGAATTTTCTATCTTAAAATGTGTCATTGAAGTTCATCATGAGTATATAAAGTGTCCAATGACAAAATAAAAAGAGCAATTACCTGTAAATGCATACAACACAAGGGGGAAAATAAAGCAAAATTTAGAACTTTTTATTGAAATATCTCGATAAATAGTGGTTTGTTCACATTTTCATTATCAAATTCGTGTTTTTCAGACAAAAATACGTAAGTACCAAGAAAAAATTTCGAAAAAAAAAACCATCACATGATAAGTGCAAAATTACCGAAAATAACACAGTATGCAGCAATAAATGCATGAGTGAACTGAAAATTATATCTTGGTGAAATTAGCATGTGGCTAGTCAAATTCAAAGTACACCCTGTTTCCACTGAAAAAATTTGACTCACCTTCAACATATCAGCTTTCTCTTTCCCTGCCGTGGCAAAAACGCAAACTCTTGCATTGTTGATAACTGGAAAAGTCAACGTCACCCGACTCGGGGGTGGTTTTGGAGAATCAGTTATGGGGGCCACCCACCTAAAAACAAACCACAAAACGCTAGAAAAAACTCAAATTCTCACTTTTTTTTCATCATTCCAACATTAAACTGGGCCATCATTGACTCAGCAATAATTCTATAAATACCTCTTGGTCTCATTCAAGAGAGGATGTCCCGGAAAAAGGGAACAAGTATGTCCATCAGGTCCCATGCCAAGCAGAAGCATATCAAAAGTTGGTAGGGAAGATCCAGGGAAGAACTTTGAAATCTGGGAGGCATAATCGGTAGCAGCGTCTTCAGCTGAAAATAAAAAATCCGTGCTGTTCAGTAGATAGGATAATTATGGGATGAGCCGGCTGTAATTTTTGAAAAATCGAGAAAAACACTAACCATCATTGCTTGTTCCAAAACCACATCCGATTCATGCCGTTTCAAACTCAAGATTCAGGTTTGCATCATATAAATTTTACATCACAGTTGTACAATTTTTCGAAAATGGTGGACTAACAATCTAAATTCGAATCTGAATTCGCCGGCCAATCAAATAATGCCACTCGGCAAAGATCAAACAAAACACGATCACGGAATCACGGAACCGTCAGAATCACAAGACACAAAAATGTGAATTCCATTCCACTGACCTGGAAGCGTTTTCTTTTCACTTCACGGAGTACACCGAGTGCAGTAAGTTCCACAAGAATAAGCAGAAAATCATAAAAAAAGTATCTTGATAAAAACAAAGTATGGAAAACAAGAATTCTGAGAAACTTGATGAGTTTGTTGAAATTATAGGATTTCCTGAGTTGAATTTTCTTCTAAAATGGTGGTGGAGGTGCCAGATCAAGGTTTATAAACCACAAACAAAAACCTCATTGCACAGGTGCACTTTGAAAATTATTTTTGGGAATTGGAATTTGCTGATATGAAACTGATAAACATGATTTCAAGAAAACTGCATTCTCATATATGCCAAAACCTACCTGAAACTCCTTGTTTTATTTGTATGAACTGTTCCTCTTTCAAAGCAACTGCACCAGAATCAATGAGACTTCTTTTGTAAAGTCCATAAGTAGAATCAGCATCATTAACTGGGACCAGTCTCTCATCACAAAAGAATATCCTCCATTGTGAGAAGTCCTTAGTCTTTATTTTTGGCAGTCCTTTACTCAGAAATGTGGCAAGAGAACCACCTAAAACAATGAGAATAATCCTAAAGAAAATGACATTGCATGATAAACTGTCCCAGTCTGTAGATTTTTTATGGATGTTCTTATCTGCGAGGCAATAATGAATAATAAATAAATGAATATATCCTCCTTGAAGCAAATCCATGAGATTTACATACATTATGTATAGGTTATCTTGTTGTATATTGCACTGCAATAATAGCTGAAAATTTACAAAAATAATACCAGAAGTATAGTAGCACCATAGATTAAAAAGTTTTTTTAATCTATGGTAGCACTATAAAACATGTCCATGATGATGAAGTTATTCAAATGATGTAGCAGTTTTTCATTATTTTTATTAGATGATCAAGGAGTCTTACCGGAAAATCCTATCAGAAACAAGCCTTTGTTTTGAATGCTTTCTATTGCAGTTGTTTCAATTATTTCACAAAGCTTAGAAATAACGTCGTCTTTACTTTCAACAACAATCACGGTCATTTTTAACGCTCAACTTCTACGTACTTCTACGCTTGTCGGAGTCTTATCACGAACCACAGTCACGGACCGGAATTACCAAATAATCAAATAAACCATGCGCTTGAATAAGTACCAGTGTTGCCAATGAGACGGAAAAAGCGCAATAGTTGCGGATGAAATAAAAAAACGAACAATATCAAATTTTTAAATAGGTGTAGGTATAGGTATTGATATGAGTCGCGAGTACTATCCGAGCGATCGATCATTCGAATGGTATTTCGATTATAGGAATCATTCGAATACTACCTATTCGATTATGAGATTCATTATTGGATTATGCCCATATATTGCTGTCAATGAAGATCTTGTTAAAATCATAGGCTGGGAAACCAACAACCTAGTATGTATTGTCACCAAAATTATGAACACCTGCCAAATTTCAAGTTAATCGGAGTTATGGAATTTTTGTTGAAATTAAAAAAAATGGCTGCTCCAAGATGGCGGACAAGATTTGGTCCGATTCCATTCAAAATTGGTAAGTGGGGGTTTTTGAGGTCGGAGATCATGATTTTTTTGTTGAAAATTATGAATTCAAGATGGCGGCCTCCAAATATTTTTTTGTTTTTGTATAAATGACGATAACTCCGTTGTTATCAACACAAAACTATTACTGCGACCTATCATCTGAAAGAGAAGAAAAAGTTATTTGTAACTAAGTCATAGTGAGCTATGACCTACATTTGAAAAACTAAAGTTGGTGCTGATATCTCAAATTCTAGAAGAGTGGGTATAAATTTTATATTTTTTTCGAAATCACGTTGAAAAACTGCCATGAGAATGTGAAATTTCAATTTGAATATTTTCATAAATAAAGAAGTTACGGAGGAGACATGAAAATGATCAAATTTTTTTTGCGTATAAAACCAAAACGAATAGATTTTATCAAAATATTTTTTCACATTATAGTTGGCCTTGACAAACTCCACATTTGGTGTCATTTAACCGACCCCGTATCACTCACCGTTAAAAAGATACCCATGGTGAGCATGGTAAGTGGGACACACTGTATAATGGTTTGGAAGGACTATCAATGACTTTTGCAATGTTGCCACACGTTCAATTTCGTTAACACCCATTTCCAAATTAGTATTCCCGCCTACATACAAACTTTCGAACTTATCTACCTAAACGATATTCAAATAAGACAAAGCTAGTGCAAGGTGTAGTATAATGGCCCCACGAAATGATCCGAGATCGAACGGGATAGGTACTAAGAAGAGAGGCCATTAATCAACCCGAGTAGTAACCCCCTAGAGGCCAAACGGACGATTTATTCCACCTTTTAGGCCTTCTCCTGACACCCCGGACATTAAAAATACAGCATCCAATTAGGACTCCTGACCTACACAGTGCACGTTCTCCGAATTCCCCACTAAATCAATCTCACCTGAAACAGACACATACGTTGGGCCGGCAGAAATCCCGGGAAAAGACGTGGCCGCGCGTGAAAAGTCGGCTTCGAGAGATTTACAAGCTGCCACCTCGAATTGGTCACACATCAGACGATATTTTCGAGGAAAACAGCGAAAAGAGGAAACAGTAATTCACGAAACGAGTCCAGAAAATACTGTGTTTTTGGACGAGTAGTAGACAAAATTCTAGGCCGAGCAGTACCCAGCGAGCACAAACATCCCTGGGATGTTTTGGGATGTTTTGAAAATGTTTGGCATGAAGATGATATTTTGAGACGTAATATGCACTGACCAAAGAGGTCTTTGAAGGATATTGAAGTATTGTTTTTGTTCTTCTGTGGCATTTCTTTGTTTGCCTACTGAGAGGTATCCCTGGGATGTTTTGGGATGTTTTAGAAATGTAGGCATGAGGATGTTTTTTTGAGGCGTAATATGCACTTCCCAAAGATGTCTTAGAAGGATATTGAAAGTATTGTTTTTGTTCTTTGGTGCCCTTTCTTTGTTTGCCCCACCACAACGTCTCATGCTTACGTCACAATACAATGAATTCTGATTTGTTTTCGATTTTGTTCTTCTTGTTCGCAATCGCAATTGGCATTCGCGTTTGCAGCGTGTCACGCTTACATCACGCTGCTAACGAACAGAAAGGAATTTAGTGAAGTTTATTGTGTTAGAAGACTTATCTAGTTTGTAATAATGACCATCAGATGCAAGATGTGTTGTTCGGTGCCTCAGTGTAATCAATATATAAAAGTACGAATTCATCAATACACAGCTTCTCCGCAGTTGCAAAATTATGCATTGTGGAGAACATTTCAAAAATTGGGAAACCTATTTCCAATTATATGTCTGTGTGTAGTAAGCACTACTCAGAAACCGATTAAGAAGGTAATTTCATATCAAGAAAATATTTTTATGTTCAATCTATTTTTAATGCATTATTTTTTCATTCAAGGGAAATGGAATCCTAATGCAAAAGTTCATTTTGACAAAAGGCTTCAGAAAAGTACCTCTAAAATGGTTTTTTTACAGCGATTTAATGTGCGCAAGACGCGTTGAAAATGTTTTGTTGTGTCCATGAAAAGGCTTTAAAAAGAACCTGCGGCGGACATCGGCTGTTCTATAATAGTTCTATTCATGTGTGAACAGAACATCGCAGTGGAGGTTCAATGTCTCGAAATCTCGTACTTTTAACATCTCTGAGATGTTTTTGTGCTCGCTGGGTAGGCGTGTCCTGGAAGTCTGCCGAGTCAATATAGCTATTTTTTTATGTTCTGGTTCCCACGAAAAGGGATATCCTGTAATGTTCAGAGAACATCGTGAGAATCAAGGAAAATAGGGAAGGAATCGGTGTTCCTTCTTAAATTTCTGGAGGTTATATGCCTCGTGCAACACCTCCCTTGGCAATGTGTTCCAGAACCTCCCTGTTCGTTGGATGAACGAGTCTTTGGAAAGAGATAGTCTGCAGGTCTCCAAAGTGACCACAAGGGGTACGAAGCCTCAACTCGACGGGTTAATCTAGCGGGGACTGCCAAGGAAGGAACAATTGTTGATATTTCAGAAGAGCATCGTCCATGAAAATATCTATCAAATAGAGCCAGATCGCCAACTTTTCTACGGTGTTCCAGAGAAGTGAGTGAATTTGTGAGCGAGGCATCACCCACGAGATGAATTGCCCTTTTTTTGGACAAAATCCAACAGTTTCAGGGTATGTTTGGATGCTGCACTCCAAATAATATGGGAACAGTATTCTAGGACAGGTCGGATCTGTGCCTTATAGATCATAAGCATCTGACTGGAAGTGAAATAGCTCCTGGCCCGAAACAGAAAACCAAGTGTTTGGGATGCACTTTTAGCTATTGATCTCACGTGATTTGCCCAAAAAAGGTTATTGTTGATAGTAATACCAAGCATCGAAATGGATGTCTTCAAAGGTATGGTTACTCCTGAAAAGCTCATGTTGGGCACAGTGAGATCGGCTTTTCTAGAGAAAAGGCATGCTTGTGTTTTGTTTGCCTTGAAATCTACCAAGTTATTGGAATTATTTGCTGAAGGAAGTATTCTCCAAGACCTTCAAAAGTTGAAAAAACATAATATCTTCTCTCCCTATATCTTCCCAAAGAAAGCACAATGTTCATCAAACATAGTCGGATTCCAATTCGTGCGCTCCCAAAGATACAAAAAACAATTTTTTTCTGTGACGGGAAAAAAGTTTGGCTTTTCATCTCTGTTGGCAGGTTATAAAACGTCACTTTTCATAAATTACTTTTTTCCCGTGGGAAAAAAGTGAGTACTTTTTTCCCGGATATATATCACATATATGTACTGTTGATGGCTTTTGTTGTTAGTGTTGCCGTCTAGACTTATACATTCTAGACTCTTGTCTTGTCTTGTCTAGAATATCAAGACAAGATCATCAATATGTCTTGTCTAGGTTATCTAGACAAGACAAGACTTTTCATTTTCCATACAAGACTTTTATTCAAAACTCTTGATTATTTTCAAATCTATATTACAAATAATACAAAAAAAAACTTACAAACGTTTAATATGTTTTAAATTTAAGTACGTTAAAGAAACAAATTAAATTTTAAACAGAAACATATTTTTTAATACTTTCATGAAGCTGACAGGTAGCCCATGAATTGATACATAGGAGTGACCTGGCTGAATCGGAATTAACCCTATTCCTATGTTTACGAATGGTAAGCGAAGCTCTAGAAAATAAGCGTTCTGTTGGAACAGATGTGGCTGGAATACTCAGCAAATCGCGTGCCATTCTGGCTAATGTAGGATAAGCTAACTGATGCTTGCGCCACCAAACAAGAATATCTTCATCTCTTGGAGCACGTTTACTTGAAAGGTACTCATCAATTTCTTTTCTCCAGAAATTTGGGTTGTCAATAAAATTGTCTGTAGAAGAGGTAGAACTTTCAAATAAAAAATTGAAGTCAAGTGGACTGTTATCTTCAGAGTCAGTTAAATTCTAGAGTCTTGAATAATAATCTAGACTTTCGTTATCTAGACAAGACCGCACTTAGCTTATTTAATCAAGACTTACGCGCATACAACTCTTGTCTCGAAATTTCAAGACAAGACAAGAGTAGGTGAACTCTTGTCTTGTCTTGTCTAGATGGCAACACTATTTGTTGTGCTATAGTTCCGAAAAATGAGTCAATAATACCGCCTCCGAGAAAGAACTGCAAGTCCTTTTATCTTCCATTCGACTTCGCGGTTACGTATATTACTAAAAAACCACTAAATTCGCAAATTTTTGAAATCAAATCACAGATTAGACTGACAAAAGTGACATCAGATATTTGATTACTTCAAAAGAATGATGAAGATGCCTACAACGCATCAGGTGTCCCTACTGTTAAACACTTAAAATTTCACGTCGATAATTTTCAGATTTCAAAATAATGTAATATCTCCTCAATATTGATTCGTCCTTTCTTCTGTCATAGAAAAAAATAGTGTATAATACACGAGAAAAATATTAGATTTTAGCTCACGGTTTTTCACAACACAACCTGGAGCTTAAATCTACTACTTTTTTCCCTTGTATAATAAATAACTATTTATGCCATGATGTACTGCCACGTGG